AATGGGTGTATTAACAGTATCATCTCACTATTAGTAATTACAATCATATACTTGTAAAATACACATACAAGCGACCCAGTGACTTCTCCATCCGCACAAGAGTCTGGAAGTTGTGTTTCGACCCAGTCAGGACCTCCATGGCGTTGTGAGCGATATTCTGCAAATGATGGTTTTGATCAGAATTTTTGACAAAGTTGATGATGTGTTGGAAAGTGCATTTTGTAGAGAAAATGCAGTGTAAAGTTGTAAATAAAAATACCTATTACTTTTACATGGTGTTCATTACATTCACAGGTGAGGCTTACATTTTTCACAGTTACATATCTGACGTCAAAGTTCAAACTGTTTTAATATACTAAGGCCACACTGATTTAATTTTATGGATGACATCCGCGCGCGCATTGATTTTCGCTTGTTCTCCAAAAAAAAAAAAACAAGAAGCCATAGGTAACAATCCTCCGTGAAGTTTTATATATTTCAACAAAAACAATCCCAAGCGTCAACGCCAGACCTACTGTGCAGACATTATAATTAGGCAACGGTTAATACAATGAGGGCGCGTCACAAGCATAAAACATACAAAGAGCTAAATCCATTACTGCTCCCAGGGCGTGTAAAGATACTGTGCTTCAAGTTCGAAGTTCATTTTAATTACACACACACAATCATTGCATTCACATAAAGATCGGACTATCATGGTTGTGTCTAGTAACAAAGACAGCCCCACCGTCTTAGGGACTGTACGATATTTAGCGGGGGGGGGAGGTCTGGTGCGTAGGGGGGGGAGGGCCATGGAAAAAATATTTGGCATATGGGGGAGGGCCATGGAAAAAAATCGGGGCTGGGGGGAGGGCCATGGAAAATTTGTTTTACGTATCCGTCGTACGATCCTACGTTCCTAGCTCTGAAAATGTGCAATGCTTCTCGGAAAAGTGTCCCTCAAAATGCAGGAAATAATGTTCAGAGGGTCAACTTTTACACATTTTTCCCGAACTCTCGCGCCTTCGGCGCTCGACAGAATCTTACGGCAAACAAAATTGAGATGACGGACGGGAAAAATCAGGCTGGCTAGAACACTGGTTATTGAAAAATAACAAAAAAAATGAATACTCAAGCATGTAGGTCTAAGACTAGCACATTAACCAAGAAACACCGGTTCTTTTACAGCAGGCGACGCCCTGACGCTCAAATCTGGCCTGCTTTGTGCTGTTGTACTAAAACGTGATTTGTTTTAAGTTTTTTTTTACCATTTTTACTTACCGTAAATTCCCGACTAATGTACGTACTTCTTAAACTTTTCAAAATCCCCAATGTGCCTCGGGCCGTCGCCAAAGTCGGGGTGCGTACTTTATTTGAGATTTTCCCCCGACAAATCCGTGGACGACCCAGGAATATAGCGGAACACCGGCACGGGGAGCTTGGAACGAATTCGTCCCTAGCATGTTTAGATAACAATATGGACGAGTGGAAATAAAGTTAACCTTCAATAAATGAACATATTTCCTCTGACTATCGTCGATATTTACACCAAGTTCCGGTAAAAGAAGTCAAGTCAAGCAGTGCACGGTAAGAAAATGTAGGTCACTGAATGGCGTTTGGCGCTTTGTCATGCCGACCGGATCGTTCGTCAGCCTGTCGGTGCCAATCTCAGTGGACTCCCGCCGAAAATTTAAAAAAAAACGTAAGTACATATACAATATTGCAAGATGGTTTATGAGTAGTAATATTTGAAATGATCCGCAAGCCATGAACGTTCTTGATCGTCGTAACGTAACATATGATAGCGTAATAGTTGTACCTCGACTGATGGTCACTGCTAATGCACTTCCGGCTTGAGTTGAACTCAGAAATATTCAACAAAGATTATGCCCATGCCGTTTCAAAGGTTTAGCTAACTAACAGAAATTGTTAGCCATGTTTCATTTCGTATCACAGATCTTTTTGAATCTTGATAAATGCCACTTTGTATCGGGCTATAGCTGCCATGCACGACGTGAAAATGCCAGCTAGATGTACTTCTACCCGGCTGTTTCATGATAGGGGCGGAGTTATAAAATGTAGTCTTTAATGAAATCTTACCGGTGGGCGGGTCCAGTCTGTACGCGCCGACAGGCGTGGCGCCAGTGTTCGTGCCATTGCCTTGGCATTGCATGAAGTACCCCAACTAGACCGGGAAGCCAGGTGCACGTACTTAAGTGTGATCGGCGTGAATAAGGGCGTAAATAAACTTTGAATCATGCAACGTCCGTTCTCTTGTTCACGCCGAACTCTAATTCCCCAAAGTACACCTACAACTGAAAAACGAAGAGAGGGTCGTGGCAGCGCTGAGGACAGCTTTCCAGAACCTGGGCCCCGAAAAGGAAGTATTTCTTTCCTCTGAACAGACTGTAACGTTACATATAAGTTTTATGGAGTGCAAACCTATACATATTTGAAGTGTACATCTCTTTGATTTTGTGACAAAAACATATCTCACATTACGAGAGATTATTTCAAACGCAGTCAGACATTTCACTCTCTCCTGTTCGGAATCGCAAGTCCCAGTAGCCTTTTGTTGTTGCTTTAGTTTCGGTGTCAAATTTTTAATTTACTAGCACTTCTACACCCACAGTAGCATCACTACTCCGCCCAGATCTCCGCCTCGACGATTGTTTGCTCCCCTTGGGTCGATGGGCGGGCGCTATTAAAGAAGTGTTCGGTGCATTTCGTACAGTAAAGAACAACAAAGCTACGTACTTCTGCATCAACATTCAGCTACCCCCGGTTGCAGATAAAACAAATATTGGAATATTGTTTTTTTTTTCACAAATCTTTGTTGGCCGTTGCTTGATCACCAACATTCTCCGGGATCCAAAGCTGTACGTTTCGCCGCACTCGCCTTATCCTTCGATGCGGTGGTGACGTCTTGCAAATCGGCTGCGGCCAGCGGTGAAACTAGCCCCAACACCAAACGTTTCCCGCTACAATACTGTAACCAGTACCACACAACCCCGTAGTACACGGCCTAAATCTATTTTTAAACAGCTTTTTTTCTAGAACGAACTGTCTTTTATTAATAAGACATACATACAGGTCCACAGTGGCACCGGCCGTGCGTACAAGGAGTGCGTATTTTATTCGAGTTTTTCCATTTTACGTTTCAGACGGGAATATTTGTCTCCCACCAGCTAGCCCCAAATCGGGGTGTGCGTACTTTAATCGGGATGTGTACTATATTCGGGAAATTACGGGTACCTGTAGGGGGAGGGCCATGGAAAAATGTTTGAGATGAGGGGGGAGGGCCAAGGAAAAAATTTTGAGATTGGGGGGAGGGCCATGGGAAAAATTTTTGACCGGACTTCCAGCGCACCAGCCCTCCCCCCCGGTAGATATCGTACAGTCCCTTACCGTGCCTGTACCTAATTAGGCGCGCCTGGAACAGGCCAAATTCCAGCAACAGTTGCGGTAAGCAGCGCGAGTGTTACTACCGTCCGGCCAGATAACCAGGATATCTGCTTACAGAACCTCTGCTTCCAGACAACTGCCTAAACCTACGGCCTATTCCACAGGATTGTAAAAGTAGGGATGTTTCGAAAATAACCATTTACTCCAATATCAAAACAGCTACGGTAAAAATAAAAAGACGTGCATCATCCCGGACATAATGCAACACCACATGCGAAATTACACAGAAATGCGACGTACGGAAGAATGCGTTTTGGCTGCGAACATCTTCCAAAAAACTTGGCATCTCTTAACCATGGGCAAAAACATCTGGAACCACTTATAAAAACCACCCCGTATCTGCATGAACTTTTACCCCCCCCACTGCTATTCCAAACAACGTGTTTTTCTGGACCATTCCAATTCGCCTCGTAATTGTAGGGGTGCGTCTGCGATATTACATTGACCGCGAAAGCAGCAACGGCAAAAATACACATTCGTGCATCAACACGGGCATGCCAGCAGACGGCGTATAAAATTGCGTGCCGATTACACAAAGAGAACCCAGTGTTTTGACTGCGAACATGAAAAATCAGCCGATTACAACACTCCGTCCGGAGGTCCTGACCTCCTTCACGGAGTAAAAATCATGTCTTTTGAGGCTTCACGGAACTCCGGAACTCGGCTGGAACTCGGTACAGACTGCCGACTCATGAATGCCGCAAAAGGGCGGCTTATCGTAAAACTTCTTTTGTACTACCGCAAAACGTCACTTTTGTCGTAAATGAACCTTTTGCACATGCGTACTAGCTACAATAACAATGTAAACCGGGAAGTTTGCAATATGGCGGCAGCGTCCTCCTCAAAAATTACGTCAAAGTGCAGAGGAAAACTGGAGGCGTTGTTGTCGACTGGTATGCCATCGACATTGGCGAGGGGGATGTAACGTTTGCCCAGCTAATTCGAGCGACTTGTGGTAGCCAGCGAGTATCGCCCGGACAGACGTCTTTTCCAGAGCGGCCACAACGATGAGAGAAATGGGAGAGGAGTTGAGGTGGAAGTGGGTCAGGCCATGCCATTTTTCAGTTCGGCTGTTTTGTACGTATTGTTGTTGACAAAACTGGCCTTCAACAACTAAAGCCGAAGATTGTCAGCAGAAGTCAGCTTTTGAGGTAAGAATAGTTCAGTTATTTTTTTTTTGTTTTGTTTTGTTTTTCTGATTTTGATCGAGAATCTGGGAACGCAGCAAAATTTATGGGGAGGGGCGCGTACACGTGTTATGATACAGACAAAATAAAGTTGTTAATGATTTACAGTAGTTGTATGTAGATTATAATGTTGTAATCATATGGAAAATTTCCAACAAGATGCATTTCTTCATGCAAGTTTTTGTTGATTTTCTGTTAGGTGTTTTTTTTTAAATATCGAGCTCTCGCAAATTTTCACAAAATTTCCTCTTTGAAAAATGATTTTTATTTCTCTGTTTCACATCCGTTTTGTGCAGGGCTCTTTCATGTAGTGCACCAGGTGTATTGCTACTCTGCGCAAGTCAAGTCTAGGGCGCTGACCATTCTGCCACTGGTCTGCTGGATGTGTGGGAAACAAACACGCTTCCCATCCCTCCAGAGAAACTGCAAGAGTTTCAGTGCTTTCACCCAGTGTGCCATGTAGGTTAAATATTATTGTGTACCTCATGTTTTAATTGTACATTCATTCTCACCTACATTAGTAATGTTGTAACTTACAATACACTGTACTTCAATTTTATTTGGAAACATACATTCCAAGTAAATCAATTTTGCATACCATGTCATTTTTCTGTAGGTGTGCAAAGCTGGTGTTGGAGAGCGTACAAGAGTGAAGAGAAAGCTGAAGAGGAAGAGATCTAGAGAGGTAAGAAGATGGACCACTAACTTTCAGGTGGGTACTGTTCTGCTCTACCTTTTACATTTCATCTATTCAATCCCCTTGTTGTATGCACTTCTACAGGGTATAAAGTATAAACTATATACTGTATATATAATGTATATATCTACCTTTACGTTTTTCTGTAGGGAGAGAAAACTGCGAAGGAGGAAGCTGCAAAGAAGGAAGCTGCGAAGGAGGAAGCTGCAAAGGAGGAAGCTGTGAAGGAGGATGAGACCAGAATAAGATGATCTACATCTACCTCCTGCAAATAAAACTTGTTTATTTGATGCAGTCACTGTGTCCTGTGGTTCAATCCGCATTACCGGCTTTGTATTCCTGTGGTTAAGCAGCATTTTTTTTGGCTGGATTTTTTTTTCGCCCTCTCGCATTAGTTTTGTGGTCCCCAGAGGATGTCATCCATAAATTTAAATCAGTGTGGCCTAAGTCTGTCATTGGGTGGCGAATATGATCAAATGATGTAATCCATGCTAATGACGCTCTTATTGCGAAATCAATTATTAAAATTGTATAATCCGTCAACCGCAAGGGTTAACATCATTTGGCGAAGGTATGAGATCGTGGAACTCTTGTTCATTCATTCATTCATCCATCATTCATTCATCCATCCATCCATTCATTCCATCAATCCATCCATCATCCATCTATCCACCCATCCGTTCATCCATCCAACCATTCCTCCATCCACCCATCCATCCATCCACTCATTCATTCATTCATTCATCCATCCGTCCATTTATTCATCCATCCATTTATTCAATCATTCATTCATCCATCCATCCATTCAGACACACACACACACACCCACCCATCCATCCATCCATCCATCCATCTATCCCATCCATCCGTCCGTCCATCTATCCACTCATCCATCCATCCATCCATCCATCCATTTTATCCATCCTTCAATCCGTCCATCCTTCCATCCATTTATCTATCCTCCAATCCGTCCATCCATCCATTTTATCCATCCGTCCATCCATCCATCCATCCATCCTTCAATCCATCCATCCATTTATCCATCCTTCAATCCGTCCATCCATTCAT